GCAGAAGCAGCTAAAACTAGGAAAAATGGCATTATTAGTCCATCTGTGACCTATCCATTTCCTCTCTCCCACTGATAAAGCCAGTGTTACTTACGTCTTTGCCAGCACAACAAATTTCCATCATTTTCACCACTGCTCTCCCTTCCCTAGAGGTTTTCTGCTGCAGTTGGTGCTGTGCCACCCTATCCACCCCTCCCTAAGCTCCAGTGCCTTCATTTGAGGCATTCCCACACAACAGGGTGGAACTGTGCTGGGGTGCACCTTGGGTCAGTGTTCCAAGGTGAATGAAAAGGAGTGAGCAGGACACTGCTTTTGCTCCTTCTGCTTGCCTCTGGCTGCCCTGTGAGCAGCATGCTCCTATTGTTTGCCAACTTGCTGAAAAGAAGCTGGTTTTCTGAGTGCCTACCATGCACATAAACAGGCACTGTGTGACTTGGCAGACAGCAGCGAGTGATGACAGGCTGTCATCAGATTATTCCTTTCTATTCTATACCAGCAAGAATCATCCTCATCAATTTAAAGGAGGATACAGGAAATATAAAATGCATTTCAGGCAAGATTTTCATTAGGAGAGTACCCAAGTTTGCTAATTCTAGTGCTCAATCATAACATCTGTTCGTTTTTTTTATTATTATTGGTCCCCTCTCAGCTTAGTGGTAATGAAAACAAAGCAGCCTTGGCCAGCCATTTATGTGGAAGGGAATGGTGAGCACAGCATGTCTCATCAAAGCAATGCTCAGCTCTGGCTTTTGTCTATGGTATAACTGGACATCTCAGCTAGTCAAGAAAACCCAGCTCTGGATGAAAACACAGGCAATGAGACAACACTTATCAGGAGCATGAATAAGCAGGTTGAAGGCTGAGGGAGCCTAAGACCAGCTCAGGACACTTTGATTTCCATTCAGAGCCTGATCCTTCTCTCTGAAGAAGGTCCCAGGCTACTTTGGAAGAAGAGGAGTTTTGGCTAGAGGGTTTTGGTGCACAAATGGCTGGGTCTTCAGCTGCCCTAACTCAGTACATTCCCATCAACAATAATGTGTGGGACACACTGGGAACATCTTTCTGTGCTTCTGAGCAGGTTCATTCTGGTTAAGACTGTTCCAAATTTTCATACACAACCTCAGGTGTCTGAGAGTTTTTAGCTTGGACTAGAATCTGCTCAGAAGAATACTATTTGAGTGGATTTCTGGAGCATAAGCAGTTTATCAGGAAGTAATAACTTGCATTGCAAGTGCTTCCCCAGAAGGGTCAAGTGGCAGACGTGTGTGCCACACTGCAGCTTTTGTGCTTCCATCATCTGATGCTCTAAGAAAAAGGTGACTCACGTTGGTTTAATGTTATAGTTCCCTTGTGATATCTCCAATTTCCTTAATGAGGGCAGTGTTGGTACCTTGTTAGGAGCCTGAGGACTCCTCAAATTAACGTAGCATGGAGGAGAAATTAACACAGAGAGGAGTTCCTTCCGTGAAATGGAATGAGATCACTGATGGTTCTTTCTTCAATCTTTAGTTTTGTATTACAGACAAAGTGTTACCAAGGATTATAGAACACAGTTACTCAGAACTGGGATGCCTGTGTTTTTATTCAATAACCTGAATGACCAAAAGTAATTAACCTTTCGCAATACTAATTGTATAATAAAGCAAACGTGATTAGGGTGGTTAACTGTGAGAAAGGGAAGGGGCATGGTAAAATTATTGGGAAGAAACAACAATGAATAAAAGGATCTTTTAGTTTTGCCTGATAACTTTTAGTTTTGCCTATGTTTACACAGGAGTAAAGTGAAAGTCACACTGTTACTTCAGCAGGGTAATGCTGCTAACATGCAAGAAATCAAAATGTGGCTCTTTGCATACCTCATCAGAAAGCAAAACTTGGCAAGGGTCAGAGAAAGCAACAAAAGAATGCAGGAGAGAGAAAGCCAGGCAATGAATTCATGAAATAAGAGGATTTTCATTAGAGACATCTGTACTGGGATTTTCTTTAAGATTTTCCTTTGCAAAACATGGTTGATAAAATACATCCTCTCTGCAGTGATTTTTGTCAGCCATACATAACACTCTTCTACAAGCACAAAAGGAACACAGAGAAGTCAGCAGCCTGGGAGGGTGTGTGATATATAGAGCCCATGTAATGTCTGTAAAGGTAATTTGTTGCATCCTTGGCCTTTTAGAGGTTGTGGCTTGCTTGTGCAGTGCTAGCTTCTAAAAGGAGCTGGAAGCTCTCCTTGCAGGACATCTCTTTCTGCAGTGGGGGCAAGGTGCTGCTTCCACACAACCTTTGTTTGTGGTTTCACTGTGCAAAATGGGTCAGTAATTGCTGGCAGATACAAGGAGCTGTAAACCCAGGCATAATCAGTGTGCTGACATTCTTCTAGATAATGATTATTGCTAAATATCTTTTTTTTTCTTTTTCCTGGCAAAGTCTTCCTCTCTTCTTCTTTATTCTTGAGTGCTGGAAATGCTGGAAGTAAAATTCTCCCCTCACCCCGCTGCCTGTGTGCCATGTGCAGGGGCATCTTCCCCTGCCTGGTGGTGGTTATTATGAGAGGAGCTAATGAGGGACTGAGCCAGGCCACAGAAACCTGCTCATTAATTTGGGGACACACCTGGCTGTACCTTCTAGTGCTCAACAGTTTGGTCAGAAGCTATCCAGGATGAACAAAAGCAGCTCCCTTCCTCTGGCTCTAGGCGTCCAGGCTGTGCAGTGTGCCAGGAAAGCAGCCCTGGCTGGCACCACTTCTGTACCTGTGTACTCGTGGGCTAGCTTTGGAAAGCACTTGGTGGCAGCCCAAGCTTGGGTTTGGCAAGGTGGGCATTGGTCCCCAGAGGGCACTGCCATCTGCTGCTGGTGGCACTGGGGAGCTTCACAGCCCTGTGCCAGCAAATGGGTGTGAAACACTCGTGGTCAAACCCCACTCGTAAAGACAGCTCACAGTCCTGGCCCAGACAGACTTGTCTTGCTCCTTACAGTTCCAAAGGCACAGTGCACCAATAGAAATATAGACTTACCAGTCACATCCTAAACGAAACATAAGTTTGGGGAGTGATGCTCCTGTAGGGAGAAGTACTAATTAGTGACACCTTCTGCTACAGAGCCCAGCAACAGACGGGTCTTACTGTAAATGAGTGGTTGGTCTGGAAGGACTGTCCCCTGGGGAACCTGCAGGAGTCAGGACAGATTTAGCTACATCAGTTGGTAATCATCTCTGGACTATGAACACAGGAGCTAGGATTTGTCAGCTAATAGTACAGACAAAATGACAATAAGATGAGCTTTGGAAAAATGGATGCAAGGTCTTATCTTTTTGGTTGTTTTTTTTTTAACAGTACCATGGTCAAGTGATAGGCATCCTTCTCTTGGCAGCATGGGGAGAGAATCAAACAAAGGAGTGCTCCTGGTCCTGCCACAGACTCTCTGTGAGATCTAGTCAAGTCACTGAATCTTGCTGTATTTTATAACTTGAGGCCAGTATATATTTCAGTCTTCTCCATGTCCTTTATGTGTGAGTTTTCTGGTAGAAGCTCTTGTTCTACATTTGCCATCACTAGCCTTCAAATGATCAGGGGAAGAAAAAGCATCCTCTTCCCCAAAGTTGGAAATATTTTGTTGAAAAATCTCTGGTTAGAACACTTCCAGTTTTCAAATGGGTTCTTGAAATTTTCTATGATTTCACAGGAACTCTTCCCCCTTCCCCTCCCCCCTCTTTTTTTTTTTTTAGCTCCTGGACTCTTCATTTTCTACTGGGGAAAAAAAAATAATCTATTTTATTATCTGTAATAACCAAGCCTAATGGACATATTTCTGGGATGCAGGACTCCTGGATTCAACAGCAGAAGGAGTACAGGTTAAAAGAGGTCTTCTCCATTTCAGTGAGTGCTCTGCACCCTCCAGTGTTGGCTGTAACAACACAGAAGCTCTTTCCTTGGTGTCTGCTTTTAAGAGTCTCAGGCGAAGGATCCTGCTCGTTGGGCAGGAACGTTTCCTTTCCTCTGGCACTCCACCAAGCTTCCAGCTCTGCCTGAGGGTCCCAGGTGGATTGCTGCAGCCTCTCCCAAGTGATGGAGAACCAGACAACAGGCCTCAGTCCTTCTGCAGAGCCAGCCCCAAAGGATGAAGGTGGTGAATAAGAAAGGCACTCCTCTGTAAATACACTCCCTTTATGTACCACCTGTAATGAAATCCTTTAGGAGCCTGACTTTAGGAGAATATTTGTTGCCAACAGTAACAGGTTTGGAATTTGATCCTCATCTTCCTTTTCCCCTTCCCTGTTGTATTTTTGAAGGATTTGGGCAGTTTCTATCATCACTATTCTGACTGCATCTATGTGAACAGATCACACCTTTTGTCTGTGCCCACACACTTGCACCAGCTGAGCTCTTCAGCTTGTTTCAGGCTGCTGTTAACAGTTACCCAATTATAACCTTTCAGAAGCTTTTGAGGCCCTGAATTTTCTGGTAAACCCCAGTGCAGCAGTTTAGGGAAGGAAGGTGGGTGTCAAGGAACCAATTTTCTGTGGTGGGAACTGAGGACACTGAAGTCTGACAGGCGTCCTGCTAATAATGCCAGCAAGACCCAGGAGTCAGGGGGGTCAGGCAGTGGGGAAAATTGTGCCAGGGCAGGACTGTGGCTGACAGAAGTGCTGTATAGATTCAGGGGAGTTCAGGTAAGCCCCAGAAAACATGCTGAAGAACCAGGGAGTGTCAGAACCAGGGAGTATCAGTGTGCTTGCCCTACATCAACTCAGTCTGGCTTCTTGCACAACCAGCCAATGAAACTTGGGAAATTGCCACAGCTCTCACCCTTTCATCCTCCCCTAAAACACAGCTACCAAAGCCACAAGTGGATGCTTGTATTTTGTGGGATGAGCCTTTATTGAAATAGTTGACACTTATCTCCTGCTGGTGTGATGGTGCCTTTTCAAAGGGACGTTATACTTTGCATGGGAGTCTTTCACTGGGTGCTCTAAGCCATTTTTAAGAAACAGTCCAAGTAAGTACCACACCCAGGCAAAGGCACAGGCCCATGCTGATGCCAGAGGTCAGCATCACAGCCCCACCTGGGAAGTACTTCTGATCAACATAGTCCATGATCGTGGTCACAGCCAACATGGTCTCTTCACACGTGGGTTGGATCTGGGTGGGGGGCAGAACAAATCCATGAGTGCCATTGTCTCGCAGCTCAAATGTGTAGGAGAAAGGAATGCCAATCGTGTGAGCCCAGTCCCTTGAGGAGCCTGAGTTCTCATCTGTGAATTTGAAAATAGAGGGGAGATATATTTTAAGATTGCTTCTTTGAAAATGCTTCTTGCTCTAGTTAATGCAGGATTATGCCAGAATCCCTGAACTAAGCAGTACCGGTATATTACTGTGACATGGAGAGCAGACTTTCTAGGTGCTGTGATTCTTCATGATACTAAAAGTCTTCCATGGAGTTTCCTACCTGATACAATCCTCCATAAGATGGTATTGCACAATAACAGGAGATTCAATTCCAGGGATTCTGGGTTTTTAGCATTTCATTGTGGTTAATGCAGGGTACAAGATGAATTGGCCATTCGTCTGTTCTGGAACTTCATCTCCTATATTGACACTGCCATTGAATTTCTTTATATTTGTGTTTTTAAGCATAATTTTAGTCAAGTCTGAAAAATTTCTGGCTACTCACTGTATCATTGTTTATCTGCCTCATGGACATTTTTCCCTTACCAATCCATTGTAAGTACAAACCCTGGCAGAACGCAGCCCTGGGCATGGCCAAGTCCCCTTGTGCTTCTATCACATTGCTCATGCAGTAGGTGACTCGTGTGACTCAGGGGCTGGCAGACAGATGCTGTAAATATGCAAAACCACACGGGTACTGGAGCCAACTGCTTACTATTCTGAGTGACTAGTGTGACTTATTGCTTACTGGGAAAAGATTTGGTTTACCAGGCACTCTCTAGGGCCTTCTAATCCCCTACGTAAAGGCTGTCAACTAGTATCAGCCACGATGGTGTGTTTGTGATGTGGCTATCCAGGCTCTCAGGAACAAGGCTGAAACCAACATATTTCACCCAGAATTGCAAGCAGCTGCTGTACAATAATGTCTGATGGAGCAACTATAGACCTGATTGGGATTTTAATTTTTGCTTGACTCCAGTGAAGACAAATAGGAGTTTTGCTGCTGACTTCAGCAGGGTCAGGATGATCTATCACCAATCTCCTCCTG